ATGATTCTTAAGGAATGATATGTGGTCCTTCGGGACATTGTGGTCCTTCGGGACATATATGTATTCTTTGGAACATGTGTGAAGTCTGGTGAGACGCATACTTGATCTCTAGTATATGTATATGATTCTTAAGGAATGATATGTGGTCCTTATGGACATTATTCTACGCGGCATTACGGTGCAATTCTACGCGGCACTACGGTGCAATTCTATGTGGCACTTCGGTGCATTTATATGAGCTGTGGTGACAGCATTAGTGCACAACCTCCATAAACTCACATATCTATAGTTCTCACATATGTACATGGGCTAATCCAGAGATATGAACAAATATATGTTAGTGGTATGATAAATGTTATAGAAATGATATGATGTTGTGTGTGTATAGTGTTTGATTGAAAAGGTTAAGCATAAAAGTATGTGATTACATGATAAACTGTTAATGATGAGTTATGTGTATGTATGTATTTACTGTAATTAATCTGATATGATTTTATATGATACGAAGAAAGCATGTAATTTGGTATAACATGATAGAACAGAACATGCATGTATTAATATATATTATAAAGTGCATTATAAGTTTTTATGCCTCACTAAGTCTTCGACTTAGCGTGTGATTGTTTCACACGTAGGTTTCGAGAAGAGTAAAGAGTAATGCGGAGCAAGACAGGTCAGTTCTCCTTACCAAATGTCAGATCAGAAAATATATGTACTGTTTATAGAGTGTAGTTGGCATGTAGTCTAAATATATAAATTGTATGAACTCTGATATATTTTGTAAACGTTTTGAATAAGTTAAATGTTATCAAAGTTTTTAAATTACTCACTATTTTATACGAATAAATGTTTGAAAAGTCAATGTGACAATTCGGACTCGTATCCGGGTCGGATACGGGTTGGGGGGTGTTACACCAATCATTGGCAATGTGATAGTGAAGGGTATTTCCCTACAATTGGAAGATCCTTGTAACATATTTTTCCTACAAGTTGCAACCGTTTGTCATTTTTTAATATTACGTTGGGAGAGATGAACAACTGGTACAGGCCGTGTGAGCCGTATGCCTACTCAGTAACTCAATCATTTAGTGTGATACCCTCGTTCCCAACCAGAGTTTATTCATGTCCTCAATAATTAGTTTAAGGACATTCAAGGCTGGCAAGTCATGATTAACCAGAGTAAAGCTTTGTTGTGGACGACTCCTCTATTGCGAGTTAAGTCGGTCTTGTATGAGTTGAGCTTGACATCCTTCGTCATTAAGTTCAAATGTTGCTCGAAATCTGGACTAGGAAGTTATTGTAGACACTCGTTTTTGTTCGGGTTTAAATTTAAACACTTGATTTTAGTTTAATTATGATTAATTTCAGTTAGAAATATATGTGTATATTAAATATAAAAAAATATTAACACTTATTTTCTTCATATTACAGATACTACAAAACCCAATTTGCAGACCTAATTACAAGGAAGTCCGATTATAAAACCCAAGCGCAAGTTGGCCCAATAAGCCCAAATACAACAATTGCATTAGAAACCATAGGAAAACTAAGCTTCAACGACCACCAAAGCAAACTAACGTCCAGTAGAATGACACCAATTAGAACTCAAATAATTTCATTAAAATAAAATTCAAAATTTTAGTTTGAGGTTTGAGATGTTTCTTTTCATCTCCCTGGCCAATTTCTTTTGCAACATAAATGATGTAAAACATAAACTGATGCCCCTATATGTTGCCTTAGGCCATCGCCCCTACATACTGCCCTGGGCCGTCGCCCATCTGGCACATGTATTGAGTCGGTCCTGGGAATGGACAAATGGTGGCAACCCAAACAAGAAAATTAAATTCATGCTTCATTAGTACATCAGGATGAACATTAGAGAGATTGAACTCTGAGAGAAGAAGAAAACAATAAAAAGATAGAGCCATACCCCTCTAATATCACGACCACCGCCGCCACCACCTGTCATAAAGGGAAGTTGAAGAAGAAGATCGAAAAGAGAAGTAGTTGTGATGATTGGAGTTGGAAGAAAATGTGGTTCCTTTATAGTTCTCCCGTGCTTCATATGAGTCACCAAACAAGTTCTCTCTCAATCTTGCTTCAACTATGTATATTTCACCACTCTTGAAGTTGAAGCAAAGTCCATTTGCCTTCTTTTTTCTCTCCACATCATTAAAATCATAAGCACAAATAACCAGAGAAAGCAAAATGTGCGTTCTTTCAAACACTTCCCAAAGAAAAAAAAAATACTAACAGAAGAAAACACAGAAGAACCTAGTTAGAGAAAAATATAATAATAGTAATTATGAGAAAAAAAACAACGGTTGGTTCTATGGTGTAGTGGTTAGCACTCTGGACTTTGAATCCAGCGACCTGGGTTCGACTCCTGGTAGGACCTTATATTCTCTTTCTGATTTTCTAGGATGGCCTGTGTCTTTGTACGTTATTCTATTTTTTTTAAATAAACTACAACTTTTACATCGCACTTGTTTTAATTTTATCTAGTTTTGATTATCAGTCTTGAAAACATTATGTGTTAATCACTTACATTATTAATTTGTTATATTTTAATCACTTACAAGTTTACGCACACTCATCTGATCTACATCATTCTATATGGTTCAATAACAATTGTGTCAATTGAACTAACGTTCAATCTTTTTCACATATAATTTTTATGACCCTTCGATATTTTTGTATAGATCAAGTTAGGCCTTGATTATATCCAGAATCAAGTCAAACCAGACTCCTAATTAAGTAGGGGGCAAGCTCTCCCAACGTTGTTTTTCATCCACAAGGTTAAAACCTAAGACCTGGCATTAAAGTTCACATCACTCAATCAAACAAACATGAATAAACACACTTTATTAAGAAGAAGAAAAAAAGAATGAGCCAGGTTGGAAATGCATTAAATACTTGGGGACCCTCGACATTAATTTCACTCATCAAGTCATCTGTTTAGTATAGAAAAAGCTTGTACGCACAGCATTTGATCAGCTGTAATGGAAAACCTGGCTATATCTCCAGTTGAAATAATTCGGTTGAATTGATAATCCTCCTCCAGAACCATGTGCTCCAACATCATATGAATAATTCTACATCCACTGAATTATATGGTTGGTGACATTAATTTATCCAATCACGCTAAACCATGATGGAGCACTGCTAGTTTCTTGTTGTCAAGTTATTTTCTACTTCAACATAGGCCAACAATAAAGAGAAGAGATTGAGCCATGTCCCGTTAATATCACGGCCGCCTAGAAGATTGCAATGATTGGAGTTGGAAGAAAATGGGGTTCCTTCTATAATTCTCTCCCATGCTTCATATGAGCCGCCAAACAAGTTCTTTCATGGAAAAAGCTCAATCTTGCTTCAAGTCTGCATTTTTCACTCGAAGTAAAATCTCTTTGCTTCTATTTTGGTATCCACCAAAGGCCTATCATCATTAAAATCATAAGCACAACGAACGAGAGAAAACAAAATGTGAGTTCTTTCACATACTACTTCCCAAAAAACAAACGAAAAGCACAGAACCTAGTAAGAAAAATAGAAATTTTATTTTAATGAGAAAAAAAAGAACATCGGTTGGTTCTATGGTGTAGTGGTTAGCACTCTGGACTTTGAATCCAGCGACCTGGGTTCGACTCCCGGTAGGACCTTTTTTTCTGCTTGTTTTGGATGAATGAATTAAATCTCACGTTTTTTTAAAATTATTCTCTTTTCCTTGACAAAAGCTTCCTTCGTAGGGTTTTCCTTCCAACAGTGAATACGTAAAGATTCAATGACGACGATGATGATGAAGACGCTGCTGAGATCATTGAGATGTCATCGATAGAGAGAAAGGAAAGAGACATGCTAGATATAAGCCTTGACAAAACCCTTAAACGCTGCAGTTCAAGTTCCCAACCGTTGATGATGATTCTCATTGATAGAAAAAAAAATAGCAATTAAATACTAATGCGTATAGCAGGTAAATAAGATAGAAAGGATGCTGGTGGCTGGCTCGCTGCTGGTTGTTGTTGAAGAAGCTTAGATCAAGTGCTGGAACAGTATCACCGTTGCTATTGAAGTAGTGGCTAGTGTCCATAATATTAGGGTTAGGGGTATTTTCAGTGTGGGTTTGGTTAGGCTTAAGCCATTTGATGCAACGGTTTAAATCAAATTTTGTCACGCCATTCAATCCCCGGTACTCTATAGCAGCTTCTTCCTGTGTAGCTGCAAGAAAGACAATGAACAGACCAAAGTATGATCTAATTTCCAGTAAAGTTGGTCTGAAAATGATTCATTTCTATATAAAATTTGGTGCTTTAAAGCACATACAAACATCTAACTATAAAATAACTTGCCTGGTGACACCTCGATAAATTATGTAAACTACTACATATGACATGAAAAATAATACAATCATTATATGAATGTTTTTATTAAAAAAAAAATTACTCTTTTAAAAATTATTTATCAATCTAATACTATTTTTTTATTAATTTCTCAAATGACATTCTTTTGTTGTTCGGACTTGTCACATAAGACAAAAACACGATTGACAGAATGAATTGCACATTTGAAATCACATTTGATAAGACACGTTTACTTTACGTGACATAAATAATGCCATTTTAAAAAATTTACATAAATTTAAATTAAACAAATCATCAATGAAAAATCACATATACATTTATAATACTCCAAAATCATAACATTAACGTTAACATGTTATCAAAAATTAAAATGAATCTTGTTGGACGAGTTGATGACTTGAGCTTTCATAAAACTCATGAAAGCAGCAGATTAGTTTTATGTAATTTGTAAGGAAAATAAGACAACATTAGATTTTTTTTGGGAGTGTTATATTGAGTTTAATATATGCTGAAGGTTTAGTTTAGAGGTAAACCGCCTGGAAGTTTTAGCCTGTATATGCTGCAGGCATTGCAGTGCACACTAGCAGAACGCCAAAGCAGTTGAAGCCTTGTGCATATGATATTGCAGGGCACATGCATAAGTTTTTTCATGCATTTCATTGTTATCGGGGCACTTGCTCGTGGGGCTGCCAAAGTCCGCCGTAATGATCATTGGTTTTCGCCCGGCATCAGTACCCCGCATGTATCAGTCATCCTAAAGTTAGGTAGACAATGTTCGATGCTGAGTAAAATTTTCTCCTATTGTATTGGTTTAAATGTATCATCACTTTCAATCCCGAGAACATCATTGTCTTCGTTGTTCGCCGGAATACATGTACTTCAATGCCAGAATGCCGAAAATGGAATACTGCTACTGCATTATGTTTACAGGAAGGAAGACCGACGGCCTTATTCTTGTCTAGTTTACAAGAAATTATTATCCTAGAAAGGTACAAATACTCCATTGTTTCATGTCTCCATTGACATCCAATAAAACTGATGGCAGAAAAATAACAAAAAATTTGAGTAGAAAGGGAGCAAAAAGTACTAGTCATCAACGAACTGCTCAACGGAAAATAGTCGTGGTACGTGCATTCTGCATACCAGTCTGTCAGCAAGCCTCCTTGTGTGGCAAAATCAAACTGTATCACAAAGTATCCGAACCGCCTCAGTTTTACCTTTACTGTCAAACATGCTCCGTACTTGACAGAATAAACTTCCTCATTGTTGCTCTTTCTCTACTGTCTCTACACTGTTTATTACTATCTCTCTCCTGTAACTCTAGCGCTTATAACCCTTAGCTTTGGACAAATCATTCAGTATCCAAAAATATTCTTGTTTTCTTCAACTTGTAACCTCGAAAATCTCTGCTTCACCGTCGCTGTAATCTCCCCAGCATTTGCTTAATTTCGCATCAACTTGTATTTCGCTGCAAGCTTCTTTTCCTGCAGTAACACTACCGGTCGAAGGAAACACATCTGCAGGTTTTCCTTCATTTTCAGGAAGCTTGTTTTCATCATCTGACGATTGATCTTTCGATGGATCCTGCGCACTTGATTTGTTTTCAATTTCTGCAGAGGAAAACTCCGGGGTCTGCTCCACTAGTACTGCTTCACTTTTAGTTTCGGCTCCAATGTCAACAGTTACAACACCTGGTGATTCTACTGATCCTATAGGGTTGTCAGAAATCCATTTTGAGTCACAGAAACACCATTTGGTGTCATTGGTGGCATGGGATAACCATTTGTGGAAGCCAAAAATCCATTTGGAGAGACAGGGTAGCCATTAGGAACCACCCAAGGTTGGCCAGGTACAAATTCAGCTGCATGTGGATTCATTATTCTCGGAGGGCTGTAGAGATTTCCTTCTCCGGAATGTTCAGTGCTGTGGTAGCTAGACTTGTTTTGTGGAACACGATTTCCAGAACTGTTATAACCTCCAGAGAGCCTAGGTCCATATGGAACTCTAGCTGTTGCAGATTGATGAGGTGATCTACGGGCAGAGTTGACTTGAAGCATTGGAGGTATATGCACTGGAGGGGACAGGAGTCCTCCAGGATCCTTGAAACCCGGAACTGTAACCGAGCTAAAAACTGGAATTGTTGATGGATTAAATGGAGGTGCAGCTGCAGAAAGTTTCTTTGAAGTCTCTTTACCAGTCTCTGCTTCATCCGACTTGTCTCCTTCAGTTGGCAACTGCTTGTTACTAACTTCAACTGGTAGCTCTTGAGAATCTTCATCAAACATTTTTTCTGAGGGAATAGAGGCCTCATTCACTGGCAATTGAGCTGTATGTTCATTTACAACAACTAAAGGTTCTGAGTTGGGGCATTTAACTTGGCATTTGTCTAGAGATCCAATATCTGAATCTGCAGATCCATTATCAGCTTCATTTTTGTGGTTTCAACACCACTTTCAACTTCTACGGTCTTAGCTTCTATTTTTATGTCTTCAACTGTAGTGCCCTCTTTTTCCAGCGAAGCTTCACACCCCCCCGATTCCCTTGTTCTTTCTTCATTAGCAGTGCCTTTCATTTCTGTCTCGAAACCGAGAAACTCTGTGTCTCCAGTGGCTTTTGGAACTGCTTCGCTAGCAACCATTGGTGGTGTGGCTTCTGATGCAGCCTCTTGGCTTGCCTGAGCATTTTGTTCTGGAAGAGGATTCCCTTTCGGAAAATGCTCCGCCACTGCCTTTACAATCGTCCCAGGTGGGGCCAAAGCAACTTCCTTGTAGGAGAATAGTTTTCCAGCTGCCTGTACACTGATTGGACTAGCTACTTGAGTAGGCTTGGTAACTTGTTCAGATGCAGCTGGGCTACCAGGGGATGATTTTGGGTTTACAAGTTTCTCCACGTCACTAACTGTGCTGCTCGGATTATTTAACTTTTGACTGAAACTTGAACTTTTAACAAACTTTTTGGAAGCCGGAGGACTAGGTCCAACTGAAGCAGTAGTCACGTTGGGGCTTGTTCTCGGAGATGTGAAATTATTAGGCTTTCCCCGATATCTTGAGGATTGGGACACATTCATGAAGTTTGTATTCAGTTTGGCTAGACTTGGCCTCCTTGAAGCAGAAGGTTTACGAGCTGCAGGTGAACGACCTTTAGGAACAGCTTCTTGCCATCCTTCATCTGAGATGTCATCCTGTTCTTGGTCCACATTTTTAACCAACACCAGCTGATCTGCTTGCTGCGAATCAACTTTCTCGATACCAGATTCCACAAATTCAGCTTCGGCTTTGTTTTCTTTATCACTAGAATTCTCCATAGCAGGAGAAGTCGGTGACAGAAACTCATTGTTTTGATATTCATCTGAGGTTGTCTCCCAATTTTGGCCTGGTTTGCCCCTATTCTGCTCATTGAATGAAAATCTTTGTATAGATATGTAATCAATGAAGATAATATAATAACCAAAAGAACATGTTAGTCGACTAACCTTTGCACGAGCTTTCTTTTGGGCATCTCTTGCTCTCATATCCGAGTCCGGGGTTATATAATCCAAAAGGTCTGATACACTGATACAAAATAGGAAACTATTGTAAATAATGCTCGGGTTTAAAAACACAAAGTGAAGCCAAGTAAAGATCAGGAGAACTTTTGAATTGTCCTGAACCATGCATGGATTGAACCGAACTTATTCTGCTCCTAGATTGTACCTTAAATGGCCTTTGCTGGAGATTGATGCATCGGGCTTTGGAGTACCATTCCGTGCAGCTTCTTGCTGCTCTAAAGCCTTAGACTCAAAGTACTCGAGCCATGCAGCCGCATCCTTCAGAAGGCATAAAAACATCAAACCATCCGAGGACTAGTGAATCACTAATGCAATTGGATTTAATGATAAAAATATATCGAATTACCTGTGTACGTAGGTCCTCGGACCCTAGTTTTGCCTGCAATATTTGTAGTGTAGTTTGTTCGTGTTGAACACTTAAGGAGTAAGCTTCCATCAAGGAGAGAGCAATGGCGATGGCATGGTAGCTGGCAGCAGTCTGTAGAAGCCAGAAATACATTAGAAATGAACCTTATAATTTTCATCTAATTAATTAAGTAATTAACTAATAGGCAGATTACTTCATTTCTCGGTTGTTAATATGATAGTTTACCTGTATATGATCAGCTCCGAGAAGTCTTTGGTTGCACTTGAGGGCCTCATGGAGATATCTAAGAGCAACATGAACATTTCCTAACCCTTCTTCCATCATCGCTACATTAATATAGGTCGCTGCCGTATTTGGATGAGATGGCCCGCATGTTAAATGCAAAAGATACAATGCACGATTTACATACCTGGAACGAGGAAAAGGAAAAGATTAGGCCCGAACTCTAATACGGTATTCAGTCAATGATGTTTCTTGCAATGCAAGTCATATATTACAGAATCACAAAGGAATAAGCATTCCGAAGCTCTAAACATAAACCGGAAAAACAACTATCAGCTTTTAACATATTCATAAACCTAAACAACCTATCATCTGGTTAAGTATACGGCCTAAGAACAACTCGTTGTCTTCCCTCGACCAATAGCATGCGTTCTTTTAACAGAAATCACAATGAAGGTTTCCTTTCCCTTTCCATTAAGGCTTCCGTCTAATTTTTTACCTCAAAGTTAAAAACAATGGGTGCTAAAGCAAAAATATATGTATCTGAATGATATAAAAGCATACTTCAAAGCCAATTCTGTATGTTGAAGACGATAATAGAAGACAGCTAGGTCTCCATAACTCTTCATCGTATCAGGATGATCAAGCCCGAGCTCTCTTTCATTTATATCCAACGCTTTCTGCTGATAAATTGTTGCCTATACAAATTCAAAACAGATCAGAATATTGCAAAACATTGAAAGAATTATAAAGTTTTTTTGGAAATTTTGTATCTTTTGATTGATCATCAATGGATTTCAATAGGTCCAAAAGTTTGAGTCATTTAGAAAATCATGCAGAAAAGAATAGGTCATGTGATGCATGGATAGAATTCATAGAAATGTTAAAGAAAATACCTGATTGAAGTCCCCGGTATGGTAAAGCACAACAGCTAAAAGACTGTATGCACCTGCAGTCATCCGATGGTAAGGGCCACAGACCGACACGAGTTTCGAAAGTGCCTTTAAAACAAAAGTCAAATATTGGTTTAGATGTTTTTGATATTTCTGAAGAATAAAACATTTAAAACAACATACAGAGTGATACTTCATCATACCTTAGTGCCATAATTGACTGCATCCTCCAATTTACCTTTATCCAGAGAAGTCTTAGATGACTCCAATAGCGTACGGCCATCTGCCGATGAACACGCAACATGCTGCGGGGAAGAAACAATGTCAAACACATTCCAAAGCAAGAACTGCAAGACAATTAATTTTCCAATTTTAGATCCCACTTAGTGATTTATTCACCTTGTATACAGGGACCATGCTTATGATATCAGACTTCCTAAAAGGAGATGGAGTATCCATGTCATAGTCCCTCGGAACAACCTCGAGCCCCACCTGAGAAATTATCATTTCAATTAGAAAATGGAGAGTATGAAGCATACATCTTAAGGTTCCTCATACTATGGCAAGATAATTGTACCTTGTGGGACAATCCACGAAGAATGGCGAACTTTCTCAGATCCTGGCAGCTTTCCGATTTCCACTGCCATCCAAACCTCTTAGAAAGGAAGGTTTCCACCCATCTCCATTTTAGTTTTTCATCATTAATGATGTCTAGGTCACCATTTTCACTCGGTGGTGTTCCCAACAATATATTTAAACATGCCGCTATTGATGCAGCCAAGTCATCAATACTGTCGACTGAAGATACAACAGCCTGTAACACGTGTTTGTAGGCTCGAACAACCATTTCATGTATACAGAGTGATTGCACATGAGGCAGCTTGTCTGCAAGCTCAACCTGAGATGATAGGAAAGAGGAAAAGATGGGGATAAGAGATGAGTAATCGGAAATTATTTGTGGGGTCATTCAAAAACCATTAATATTTTTACCACACGCCCCAGGGAACACATTTGCAAACCCCTTGTATGCATAAAATCCGTCAAAGTCCTTCCGTCAACCGGTGAAAGTTCAAGGGAGCCAAAATCTGCCACCTAAAAGATTTGAAGTCATACCAGCAAATATGTTAAGTACTAAAACATCTAGGAGAAACATAGATTGCTAAGGGACTAACCAGTTTCGGAAGAGCAGTCTCAGCATAGTATTTATGTGCCATTTCAATCAACTCATCAGGAGACTGGCATATGAACAAACAGAAATATTAATACAAAAAAAAAAACCTTCTAAGCAGTGTGTTTTTCGTTCTTTTGAGAGAGCGAGATATAGAGATGCTTAATGTATAACACGTTTACATGGTTGACTTTCGGGGAAAGGAAATACAAAAATAAGTGCAAAGATCCCATGGATGGATCAAAACTTTTGTTGTCATTATTCTGTGGAAGTATGCAAGTAGAAACTAACCTTGAGGTGAAAGCCGGTTTCTGATTCTTTTAGTCTCAAATATGCCGCTTCGGGAAGCAGTTTCTTCCACTTCATTTCCATTTCCTCGTCTTGCTTCCCCTGTTTCTTGTGATTATTGGCTTCTGGTTTCTTCATTTCGGGGCTGTTACCAGGAGAAACCTCCATATTCTGTTCATTTTTACCACCTTTGGTATCTGTTTTTCTTTTTATTTCCTTCAGCAATGCACCCTGTTTTCCAAGACCCTTCACGGCAGGCTCGGGCTTAACATCTTCATTTTTCTTAGAATCGGTTTTCCCGGAAGCTTGATTTTGAAGATGTTGCACCCAGCATGCCCCCAGCTCCCATCTGATAGACTTGGAGATATTAAAGGGTTCGTTTTGCAACTTCTGCAAACTCTCCTCTAACACTTTCCTCACCGAAGCCCTGGCGGAATGCAAGTTCCCAATATCCGTACACTGCGATCTTTGAGCTGATGCAGGTGTGGTTGGCTTGTGCAATAGCATCCTTAAGCTGAAAAGTATTTGTAAGAGACATTAATATCTCAAAACTAAGTGTGTGCACATTTCCCTTTGTGTTTACAATAAGAACAACTTGGTAATGATATGGACATGAGATGAGGTCAACCTATTGACATTTAAAGCGTTCGCCCCTCCTTCCAGCTGGTCCTCGATGTCGATATCTTGAGGAATGGGATTGCCCTCCCAATTTACCTCGGCCGAAACTTTTACTACAGCTGTGTAGCCACAATGTCTTACAACCATAACACCTAAAGTAGAAGTATCCTACAATGCCAAAAAAAAGGGGTAAAGTTAGCAAATGCATAGCCTCTTTCTTAGTTCACCGTACTAATCATTCAGCAAAAACGGTTCACTCACATGCACAGTTGCACTCTCATCTGCAGTTATGCCTTTAAGTAAGTTTCTCCGAGCGAGCTCCTCTTGTGGCAATCCAAGGACCCGACTTCCCTCGTTTTTACAATCTAATTTCACACTTGCATCAGGAACATCTCTTGTCACCTTAATAATCAAATCGCCCACTTTTTCTTCATGCAAGATTGAAGCAGAAGGATCATTTAAAGCGTTCTGATTGCTTTCGACGATGTTCTTGATCGCTGCAATTGCTTTAAAGACCGAAACGTCGACAAATAAGCTATGAAGCAGAAACGCTTTCCTATCTCGTATTTGCCTCTCTTCTGCTGTTTTGCAAGGCATAGCTGCCAAGATTGCAAACTCTTTTGCCCATTGTCTATTGTCATGTTTATCATCTCTTCCTTGTCCACCTCCATTTCCTCCCCAGTTTTCATCTTCCACCGGCAGTGGCGGAAATAACGACGGGTTATCCGCTACCAGAGGAGGAACAACCCATGTATTCGCCCGAAAACCATAAGGAAGGTTGCCAAACTGAATTTTAAAGATAAAAACAAAAGTGAGTTCCAAACCATAAGCTCTAATTCACATATCAAAATGCAGCAACTCGATTGAAAATTTTACGTACTTTATTATGATCAGTGAAAGCTTTCATAAGAGCTTTGTATGCCTGCAAGGAGATTAGTGTTCCTCAATATGAAAAAATATATACCCAAAAAAATTTAATAGAAAAAATTTAACATCTTCAAGGAGATGCCATAGTACTAAACTACGACCACCGCACATAGTAACGTTTTTCAAGATTACCGTGACCCCGCAATTGCATTCGCAATATAACGTCCACATTTATCGCAACCGTAATTTAGTACTATGGGAGATGCAATGGAACTTACAGCATCAAAGACCCTGCTAATCTGCTGCAGAAGTGTGACTAGAGAGTGACAGAGAAGAGGTTGCTTTCCGGCCGGGTAAAACCCTTGCCGGCAAGCAACTATCGTCATGGGTTTCCCACTACAAACTCGAACCTACATTTTGAGTTGGTTACCAAATGAATCCAATTAGCCCACATTTTTTTAAACAAAAAAGAACATCAAATTAAACTATCACTTACATCAATCTGGAAAAAATCATCTTCTGTTTTATCCTCCAGGAATGGACGATTGGATCTTCTAATATCTGTAAAAAAATTCAACGAGAAAGGAATTTAAACCTCTGAAAAAAGGAGGAAAAAAAACTGAGTTCATGCCTGGCTATAAAGGGAAATTACATTGGATAGGAGGAGTGAGGTGAGAGAAGGAGAGGAAATCGTAAAACTGCCCGAGCCTCGGCGGAGGACACATCGACACCGCCGCTGTAGCGTCGACTTTTTCCTTCGCCATAGAGTTGTTGGGAGATTCACCCCCAGTGTCGACGGCATCCGATTCTTTGGGACCGGTTCCACCAGCCGATTTCGACGAACCGAAGGATGTTGTGCAGGCGACTATGTCGAGGAGCCGTCGGATGTGGGCCACCGCTACCTCCTCCGTGTAGTCCTCTGCACAAAAAATTCTTTTCCCAGTTAAAAACTTTCGGGGTCATAATTAAGTGGAAAAATGTGACTGCAGAACATGGCAAGACAACCTTGGATGATGGACAGCTGACAAGGTTTAAGCGAGACAATATCGACGGAATCCTTAAGTTGATTTCCTCGTACCTGTGGAAGAAATTCTCAAACTTTGATACCGTTGGAAAGTAGATGAAAACGAAAGCCAATGGTGACCGGCATTGATGAACTAGTAAAAGCTGCTCTGCTCTGGTCTACTGCATTAATGGCATATTTTTCCGATTTCCCAAAATAGAAAGGGTCATTAGATTGCTTTTATTAAATTTACCTCGTGGGATAGGGAGATGCTGGTCAAATGACATGTCTCAACGTGGACCGCTAAAAGCTTTCTTACATCCAAAATTTTGTCCGAAGATATTCCCTGCAGCAAATGTAAAATGAAAAAGAAAACGTGAACCTAAAAAAAAATCACATGCATAAAAAAATTAAATTTTTTTACCTTGAGAGTAACTTGGGATTCTTCAGGTGTTTCAACGGTAATTTCGATTACAGAAGGCAAAACTGAAACAGAAAATCATGGAGAGATAAGATTTTCACTTTTTTTTTATTAAAAAAAAAGAATTGCAAGAATCCAGGAGGAAAAGTTTTGAACCAAAGATAATAACACGATAAGATAACGTAAAAAAGTGAATAGTTTTGAACCATAAACAATGATACGATACGATAAGATTATTTTCCTTCGTTTTCTCAGCAACCAAACGGAATGGTTCATAGGAAAAGGAGAAACGAGAGAAGAGTTACCTCTCTCTTCTTTCTTCTTTTTTTCTCCCTTGGCTTTGTGTGCTTTCGCCTTGCCTGTCTTGGGAGCCATTCGTACACCAAAAATTACGGATTTCTTAAAAAGATATCGAATTCTTTGGCTGCTTCAATCGAGTAACAATTCTTCGACGATAATAACAATGACCCAGATTGAACTTATCGACTACTTCCTTTTTGCACGCAAGTCTCGAAAGGAATCTCCGTCCAAACACGCCAAAGTTTCTTACTTTCAATAGCTTGACACTAGACAAAACTAAGACAAACAAAACCCAAAGCTTAACACTAAAAGAAACGTAATTTTCTTTTTTAGTTCTCAATGTAAAACGAGAGCATTGAAGAGATAAAAGATAGATGGGAGGGAAAGTGCTGGTATAGTGTTTGGCAAGAGAGAAAATTGAGGTGGATAAGATAAGATAAGCCACTCTCCAAGTCCTTCGTTTGTGATACAAATGAAGCAAATAAACTAATAAAAAAACCCAGAAATATTACTGAGAGAGAATCGAGTGAAAGCGTTGGTTTTGAAGAAGATTTATAGAGAGAGAGTGGTGGATAGGATAAGGTGAGGGTCTTAACTCCTTTTCTTGTACCCAACAGGTAATCCAAATGGTGGAATGAAAAATGTAAGGCTGTAATTAAGGCTAAAATTCCAGGCCTCTCCTTTTATTTTTATTTTCTTCAACAAAACATGCCCGTTTCTCTAAAATATATAAGACAATACAACCCTATTGAATACACTTGATTGCGAGATTTGTCGAATATTAGAATCTTTATGATCTGTAAAATATAAGCATTATATATATTTATTCGTCCCCTTCAGAGCAATTCTCTTTTCAACTCATCAAAATTTTGTTAGAGCCAAGTTATAAGATACGGCCTCCATTAAACTCATTTGAGACCCTTTCAATAAGGTTATGATAAAGAGCAACTTAGTCATCAACACTTTTATCGGTCACAACCCATCTATTGATCGAGAGTCCTAACTGGAGTGAAACATCCTCTAGAGCGATTGTACACTCCTTATAAAGATGAAAGGTATGCCTCTTATCTCCAACTCTCAAGAATGAAGAAATAAGTGTTAATTGTAATTTACAACCTCAAAGCACTTGAGAATACGATCCTAATCTTGTTAATTTAAAATAAGTGTATAAACTATGTACTAAAAATATAATATCAATGAAATAATAATTAGTTTGCGTATTTTTATTTCAGAATAAATAAAATCAAGTTTATTTCAATTAGTTTATATAGGCCATTTCGACATTAAGTTATATTATAATTCTCGATATCTAATTTTGATATTTATGTGAAGTGTGATATTTAATTTCAGAATAAACAAAATGGAAACGTACGATGATACGATCGAAATCTGAAATTTGGGTTAAATCTTCAGACATTCTAAATTGACCAATCCCAGCGTTGTTCACCGAGTGATCCACTGTTTGTATTCAACGAAATTAACATATAAACTTACAGATTAGTGTTAGTGTTCTAATACTAATTTTTGAACATCGAGTAATTTTTTTTAGGAAAATGTGTACTTACGGCATCCATAGTAATCGACAGCTTTGTCGAGGATGATTTTGCAATCTTCTGGTTTGGAAACATCGGCTGGGATGATTGGAACATCCGGTGAACCTAGCTGGAGAGATTTATCGGCGACTGGTCTAAGACGAACTTCTCTCCTGGGCACAAGGGCTAAACGAGCTTCTTTCCTGGCAGACTCGTAGTCGTATGCAAGATGCTACAACAAAACAATGAGCTAAGGGGCATAAACATATAAACTTGGGTTACATCTTCCAACATTCTAAGTCGACCAATCGCAGCGTTGCTCACCAAGTGATCCACTTTTGTATTGAATGAAATTATCATATAAACTTACAGATTAGGCGAATATTTTTTTCATGGAAATATGTACTTACGGCATCCTAAGTAACTGACTGCTTTGTCGACAATGATTTTGCAATCTTCCGCTTTTGAAACATCGGCGGGGATGTTTAGATTATCCGGTGAACATAGCCGGCGAGATTTATCGGCAACTGTGCTAAGACGATCTTCTCTCCTGGCAACAAGGGCTAAACTAGCTCCTCTCCTGGCATACTCGTACGCAAGTTGCTACAACAAAACAATGAACCAAGGGGCATAAACTTGTAGACACTTATTTTTGTCCGGGTCTTTTTTTAAACTATTATTATTTATTATTATTATGTTTATTATTATTATTAATCATTTTTGTTACAATAATTTATTGCAGGCCTAAACCTTAGCACATTCAAGCCCAATACCCGAATCTGACCCGATTCAAGTCAGTAGCCATGCCCTGCACACCAACCTCCCTGCTGGAACTCCATCCCCTGTCATCTCAAAAAAAAAAATCACGCCATGTCCATGCTTCTCAGCAGCTTCAGTCACCAAACATCAACAACCAAAATAGCAACATCATGATTTTTTTTTACATATGTAATGGGTTATATAAAACCCCAAAATCAGTGTAAAAGAGGGGGGAGAAAAAAAAGGATATAACAAGAATTTTTTTTTAATCAAAAGCAGAATCGAAAATCCTAAGGTATTTTAGCTTTGATTTCATTTTCAGTTTATTTGTACCAATTGTTGGAACTGTTTTGATTTTTTGTTCGAGTGTCTAGATCTAATGTGTTATTTTCCCTTATTACTTTGTTTAGAAAATGTTCAGGTTTACAATAGGGTGAATCTCGTTTCAGTCCCTCATAGTTAGCTGCATATTTATATTTTGGTCACTTTTACAGTTTATGTATTTTGTATTTTGTACACCATGTTCATATAGTTTGTATTTTGGTCACTAGATTTATGGTTAATCACGATTTAGATACCTATTTTTACCATGTTTTTCATTATAGTCACCAGGAGGTTCATGTTATTAGTTTATTCTGATATTGACATTCTGTTTTATTTTGTTTCAATCTGGTCATCAGACATGTTGTTTTGTTTGTTTTGAAATCGGCCACTGATTTTTGTATTGTTTCATTTTTGCCATTGATTGATTCTGTTTTTTTTGTTTTATGATTCTTATACTGTAGTTTCAATTTACACAGTTTAGTCACTTGTCTATAAAGCTTAGTTATTTTATGTTATTTGCGTATGGTTTGCCATGTTTGTATGTTTATATTTTAATCCATGTTATAATATTAATGTACATATTATGTTCCAAAGGTATTTGTGCATGTACAAATTTATTTATTTTTATTTTTATTTCATTACATACGCGTGTTGTATCATATATGTCTATATACATAAATTTATTAAATTCATTTTACCCTTGTATATTCGTATATATGTATATATGTACACATATTACCAATGTTTGTTCCATATTATTTAATTTGATTTATTTTAATTTGTAAATTATCTAGTTGTCAATATTTTATGTTGTTCATTTGAATATTTTCAAGAACAAAGATTTGTAGAATGAGCGTGGAAAGTATCATTTGATCGAAGTGATACAATCCGATACGACATTCGAACAAAGGTGAACTTAAAATAAAATTGATTTTTTTTGCTAATTAATTCCTTTTATTTTAAGTTGAACAATGCGATGTATGTTACTAAATAGCGATGTACTTTATGCGAAGATCGATTTTCATTTTATATTCGATTCACGTTTTTTAAATATTATTGAGGAGGGAATATTCTTTAAATGATAAGAAATATTTGAGTTAGCTTTCCCGACGGAGGATTGCTAATTTTGAGATTTCTTTTCGAGTTAAAGAATTTTCTCTAATTATTTAATTCGAAGCAAATTAATCAATGTTCGATAAATAGATCATATTTTAACTTTATATTCGATTTGTAATTTCCACCATTTACGACAATGTGTAAGCGACACAGTACCAATTTTGGGCGTTGTGAGGGTATTTACCTTTCCCCACACGTAACCGACTCCCGAATCCATTTAAATGAATCTTTAGTAACGCAGACCGAATTTTGTCTTAAAAAAAATGATTTTTCTTAAAATTGTTTTAAAAGACGTTTAGGTATTCGACCTACCTAACCCAAAGGTCGATGGCGACTCCATTTTTCATTTTATTTCAATCAATTCAAAATCACCCAATTTTCCAAAATTTAAGTCATAATCGTTTTTAAAAAAATAATATTTAATTGTTTTACCTAAAAAAAAAATGGTTATGACAAAACTGATAACATATCTATATCGGATACGAAGCATAAATGATAATATGAATAACGTAGTTTACCTCTCCGATGCCGGATGATGCACCGGTGATGAGAACCACTTTTCCGGCTACATTTTCGGAGCATAAGGATCTGAAAATATAGGTAATAAGCTTGAAAATCAGATAGGGTGGCAAGAAAAAGAGAAGGAAAAGGATGGTTAAAAGAGGGAGTATGATGCTGAGAAGCTGGTGAATGAAATCCATAGCTCAGTTTGCGGTTGATTGATGGTTGCAGTGATTGTGTTTAAAATGACATCAACAGGGTTTATACCCTATTATCGAAATGCCAATAAAAAAAACTCCAACCACCAACCACTAGAGTCATCGTATTATTGATTTTAATTTCAGATAAGAATATTATTTTTTTAATCGATCTGGGATAATTATATGATAGTATTTGGTCGAGAGACTTTCAATTATTTATCAATGAACTTTTAAATATTTCTGCAAATTTGATGTTCGAACTTAAAATCTTTAAGGATAATAGCCATTCTTTTAAATATTAAGATCATTTCGTGCATAAAATTATTCTTATTAATAGATAGATAGTCAAACTTTGAGATGACTAACATTTTCGATTATACGACGTTTATCGAGCATACAGACATAATGAAATTATAGCAAACTATTGATTTGTAGGAAGATTTGCTTTGAGCGTAAGGATTATATATATATATATATATATTAACATTTCAAAAGAGAAGTTAATTAAGTCTTTAATTGTCTCTCTTTACTTTCATTTTACACTTAATATATATTTGTGATATTCAATTTGCTTTTCTTTCTTAAAAATTTAGATATTATTTTAATTAGTTGATATAAAAGCCTTAACATATTAATTACATAAATTATGATGAATTTTAAACATGAAATAGGACTAGTTTGAATAATTTTCGGGTTAATTTTTTTTATATAAAAAAAGGTTTAGTCAGAATTCTTCTCAAGGGTAGGGTCGGTTTGGATTAAAGTTTAGAGTGAAAAAATAGCTTCACAATAGTATAATTATCTCTCATATATTTAGGTATAATTGCAAAAATATATTTTTTATGTTCTATTTTTTAAATTAGATCCTTATTTTACTTAATAAAAATAAATTATATACATTTAGATTGGGTCGCGTTGAGCGCAAATTTTGACCTAAAAATTAGATATGATTTTGGGCCATATGAAACCCTCCTAAACTCGGGTTGAGTCGGATGCAGATGAAAAAATTTAATTTTCAGTAGAATTTGAGTATACCAAAATTCCGACCCATAACCATTCTTAAACATCACATAATAAACCATTCTTAAACATCACATAATAAAAAGTAAAATAAAAGCACAAAGATGTCAATGACTTCTGAAAATATATAAATTACAACTTTAAAACCTTTATAAGTGTAAAACATTTAAAATAAAATTACCACACAAACATATATTATAAAATATGATATGGAATATATTTTAAAACATTAATCACTAAGATGTTTTCTTGGCAGATCGAGGTTTCCTCATCAAAGTGGAAATACATATGGAGTCAAGGATTGTTGTAGGACCATGTCTGTATAAATTAAGCCAGGGATAACGATTGTAATTCCAATATCTGATCCAAATTCAACCCTAAAAGTATCATAAAAGCTGATTAGTGCTGCCTTTGCTGCCTGTTCATGCCATTGCAGATTTTACAATTAACAACAGTAATAATGAGAGAGTATAGTGAAGCATACATGCATATACATATAAATAAGAGACTTCTTACATTGTAGAAGCAGTGTTTTGGAAGAGGAATCCATATACACCTGCCTTACCATGATCAGGTCTAGTGGTTGAAGACGGTATCGGCTTCACCGTCTGGCGCTCAATATGCACAATCCCGATAATGTTGCACGGTTGGCTCAGTAGATGATCAGTAAACAAGGCCGCAGATTCAGCGGAGTAGGAGTAGTTGATGCTTAGTGTATAGAGTTTTAACCAGCTCATTTTTATCTTCCAATTCCTTCCTAAGATGTTCATCTGCTCCTTCACTATCAGTGTATATTTTCGGAACTCAGCAAGGCTATCATCTTCACTATCACTAATGGAACTGAAATTCCATAGCAAAGATATTTGGACAATGGTTAGTAAACATGAAAAAGAAAAGGAGCAATTCAGAACATCAGAAAGGATAATGTCTACGTTCATTTCCATCTTTCTCACCAACTTGCAGTTCTTTCCGTTGCAGCCCTTGCATTGATGAATCCAAACGAGGGTTGAGCATTCCATATGAATCGATCATATTCTCATCAATTCCTTCTCGACCTTTACATGACTGCAGTGTAAAAGGTCCCAGCTTCACATCCAAAGAATTTGAAATGCATGATACCTCATCCATGGGCTCAGATGTAGATATATGAGGCAAATTCACATCACAAACTAAAATTTCTGGCTTACAATCATTAACCTTTGAAGCCAGAAGACCAAAGTCAGTGTCATCATTAGTTATGGAAATCTTCTGCCCCTGTGAATATTGATAAAAAAACCTCTGCTCCAGTTCCTGAATCAAGTTTTCGCTTTTCAAATGAAACATACTCCAGTTGTTTTTCATTGAGAAGTTCTTTCTGCAGCATTTTTCAGTAAAAGTGTTGACGTTACCATCAAGTGATTCGTTTTCAAATTCAGGACCCAAAAAACAAATCAGGGCTTTTGCAGAAGCAAGATCAGCTTTAAGTTTTGCATTCTCAACTTCCATCTTTCTAGTTCCAACAAACTCTGCCAATTCACATTCCTCAAGGAACTCATCAGAATCGTCTTTTTCTAGATTATCTGAGCCGGTCTTTTCAGTATCAGCTGAATGAGAACTCTCATCCGACATGGAGATTGAACCTCTTAAACTGGCAGGCTTCTCAGCCCTGGTAAGCAGCCCTAACAAGGACTCAGTAGCATAATGGTCCAGGTCAGGAACATCAATATCAAGCAATGTAGAGTAGAAAGGAGCTATATTGACATCACATTGACTTGGAGTATCATTTAAACCCATGGAAGCCAAAACATCCTTGGGTATGTAAAAACCATGTGCTTTTAGAAACTCCAATCGTCTCCTGACCTCAACTTCTCTTTTTGTTGCAAGCCTTTCAGCAAGCTGATCAGCCATGCCCATGTAAAGCTTCATAGATGCCTGTTGACTAAGCACCGAAAGGTGCATATTAAATACACCGAAAAAAATGAGCATTTTTGTTTATTTTGTGGATAATGGCTAAATCATAATTTAGTCATTAAACTTTAGGGTATTTACAAATTAATCCTTATTTTTCAACTATAAATACCCTAGTTCATTTAGCTTCAAAATCATCCCAAAGCATTCTAGCTTTCTTCCAATACTAGAGAGATTTTAGAGAGTTTCTTGAGAGTTGTTTTCTCCTTTTTATCTAGAGAGAATTATCATTATTTTCTCCTTGGTAGATCGAGAGAGGTTGTAATTCCTATTTTCTCATAGTGAAATTCTTCTACCGTTGACCGTGGTTTTTACCCTAAATATTTTAGGGGTTTTCCACGTAAATTTTGTGTCTCTTTTATCTTCATTTTTATTTTCTCAATCCGATAGCCGTCTTCAGCAACAATGCCTTTCTTCTTATCATTTCAGCAAGACACGCTCTATATGCAGGACCAATTCCATTGACGAACTTAAGGTCCATAAATAGATCCTTCTGATGCATCATTGCCTCCCTAAAAACAGGAAACTGCAACTTGACCTCCTTGATGTGGTATGCAACATATGTTTGTCTTTTGCATATAAGTTTGAACAAAGATGTCCATTTCATTCTTATTATCCTTGCAAAAGTCAAGCAGCTTTGATATTGTACATTCACAAGCCAGCATCCTTGACAGAAGACTCTTATGGATATCATACATAGGACCCAGGGCTGAAACTAATAGAAAAATAGAGGTGGGTGACCGTTTGTACAGCTCAGGTGTCTTTTCATTCTCATTTTTTATAGAAGTTTCCGATTTCCAGTTTTTGACTTTTAAACTTTTATTCAACAACCATTAATCATTTACCCACTCTTTCCATGCTTGATTGCCTCAGTGTTTCAACTACTTCCAGCAAATACCATTAATACAATCTTGAATTTTGACTTCCTTAAAGGAAATACATGGCAAGTCCAGGATGGGTTTTTGATCAAAAGACCTTTTTGATCTTCATCATCCTCAATCTCTCTCTGGGTAGTTGCTTAATTGCTACTTCTTTGGAAGACTCAACTGCCCAACAAAAACTTGATAAGGTTCTTAAGCTTCCAGGGCAGAGTTTCAATGTCAGCTTTGCACACTATGCTGGTTATGTTACCGTCAATAATAACTCAGGGAGAGCTCTCTTTTACTGGTTCTTTGAAGCTGCTGACGATCCTGATTCAAAGCCTCTTCTTCTCTGGCTCAATGGAGGTTGTACTTTGAAAATTTTTAAGATTCTTGTATCATTTTGACTTTCAGCCTTTTTTGTAGTGCTTTTTGACTAATTTTAGTCGGGTGGTATTGACTCTTTTAATTATGTATGATCTGATTTGAGTGAAAAATAGTAATTTTGACTGATTGTTCACTGCTTTTATGATTTCACCGTGTTCTTTTTTCTGGGTATATTCCTTTTTCTGTTTACTTATGTAGAGCTTTATGTCCACAGGACCTGGATGTTCATCCATTGCTTATGGATTAGCAGAGGAAATAGGACCATTCCACATTAGGCCAGATGGGAAGACCCTTTACTTGAACCCTTACTCTTGGAATCTAGGTAATCACTTCCTTAAAAGTTCACTTTGGAGTGAATATCCGATTGAGTCGAGTCAAAAAATGACTGCTTGTTTAGGATGTGAATGTTAGAAACATTTCTAAATCAGTTACATTGTTACAAGATTCTTCTACTGCAAATTGCAGCTGCCAGCATTCTATTCATTGATTCTCCTGTTGGAGTTGGTTTTTCATATTCAAATACTTCCTCTGATTTGCTTGACAATGGTGATAAAAGAACTGGTATGGCTGAGACTTTTCTACTTCATAGCTGTATTTGAATCTTTATTTTGGCTAGCTTGTACGGATACGCCTTCTCATCCATTAATGTGCAGCGAAGGATGCACTGAAATTTTTGCTAAAGTGGCTTCAGCGCTTTCCTCAGTATAAAGACAGGGATTTTTACATTGCTGGAGAGAGTTATGCAGGTATATAGTAATTTATTCTCATTTATATTCCTCGTCCAATCATTCTACACAAAAGACATGTTGGCCCACGATCGTACCATCACCGGCAGTGTTCTCCGTCCAAATTAGAAGAGGTGAACTGCTCATGGCCGACGAGCCTATTTTGTTCCCATCAACACCGTTAAATGCCTCTGGTGCTGCCTGATATTTGCTTAGAGTCAAAAGGCATTAGTAAAAGCAAGAGAAGTAACATTTACATACACTCAATGACTTTGCAATATTCATATTTTTGTACATTTTAATTGCTCTTAAACAATAAATTCATTTTGATTTCTAGTTTTTCCTCTCTGCTCATATTTAAGAATGTGTTGTAGGGCATTATGTTCCACAGCTAAGCCAAGCCATTGTAAGATACAACAGGGCCACCAAGGCAAAAGCCATTAACCTAAAGGGCTATATGGTATAGATTCTGTTCTTAAAAGAAAGCAGTTTTCCATCATTTGAGCAAACTGAAACAGATTATGTGACATGCAGGTCGGAAATGCTCTGACTGATGATTACCATCACCATTTGGGGCTCTTTCAATATTTGTGGTCAGCTGGTTTGATTTCCGATGAAACATACAAGCTATCGGATGTATTATGCGATTTCGAGTCACTCGTTCAGTCCTCGGATTCTTGTAATCAGGTAATCGGCATCGCAAATGAAGAAATGGGGCATATTGATCCGTACAGCATCTACACTCCCCCCTGCTCTGCCATTGCTAGCCAGGCGAAGTGGCTGCTGAAAAGAAGGCTTGTGAGTACACACATTACATACTTCTGCATCTTCAAATTCGAGGGAATTCGATATTTATTTGTAACCATGTTAACGAAATTCGATATTATCCGACAGATGGTCGGCCAGCTCGGTGAAAAGTACGATCCTTGCACGGCGAAGCACTCCGAAGTGTACTTCAATCTACCTGAGGTTCAAAAGTCACTTCATGTTTTACCTGAAGCTGCACCATCTAGATGGGAGACATGCTGGTAGGTAGCCTATTTTCGTAGACTCGAATAATTCTTTCATTTGACTAACGTAACCAGACCACCTGACATAGTCTATTCTAGCTTTATCCCCTATGGAACTTATGTTATTGCTCTCAAAGGATGAATCAAGAAATTGTTGATGCTGTAGGCGTATACCTTCAAACGATTTTCCTTTCCTTTCCTTCTATTTTTCGCAGTGACACCGTAAATATTAACTGGAAGGATTCTCCGAGAACGGTTCTGGATATTTACGATGAGCTTATGCACGAAGGACTTCGCATATGGATATTCAGGTTTATCTCTAATTTTTATGTCGAAAAATAAATCGTCTTTTACATAATTTAGATTATGGATGCAGTTTCTTTTTCATTTTCCTTTTTGTTTTTCTTTGATTTGACTTGAGACAATTCTCTCCTCATTTCTTCAATTGTACCGAAATGACAGTGGTGACACAGATGGTGCAATCCCAATTACATCCACCCGGTACACCATAGATGCTCTCAAGCTTCCAACTGTGAGTCCATGGCGTGCTTGGTACGACGACGACGGCCAGGTAATTTACCTTCAAATACTTGCATTTGATTCATTACCACAACAACAGCTAAAAAGGAATGATATTCTCGAAAAAAAAAACCGTTATTGTAAGGAATATTTTATTAATCATCGGAGAGAATGTTCCTAAATCAAACGTGAGTATATGATTTCGAAAAAAAAAATTCAGATAATTGATCTTTTTCATGAATCGGACATAGTTTAACATAGATCCGGAAATGAACAGGTAGGAGGATGGACACAAGGGTATGAAGGGCTGAACTTCGTTTCGGTGAGGGGAGCCGGGCATGAAGTCCCTTTGCATAGACCGAAACAAGCTCTCACGCTCGTCAAAGCTTTCTTAGCAGGAACCTCCATGCCTGCTGCCGCTGCCGCCACCGCCGCCGTTGGTTCTCAACAACTCATCAGTGACTCCTGAATTATGGTACTAATTCTGTAAAATCTTGACCTCATTTGTTCCATTTAAACCGATCCTAATAATAAAGGAACATACCAAGTATTTTGGCCAAACCCCAAATCTTCTCTAGGAACCAACATTTACAAGAATTAGCATAAGTCTACTATGACTTTAGACAATACAATATAAATTTGCACTCGTCGGCGAATGAACAGATTCTTTAATTTTATCATCTTAAACGAAGTATTCAAGTACACCCAGAAATGATAGGGACGATGGTGGACATAAACCCACTAAAGATAGGAAGAAAATGCAGAGACTGAATAGTAATCAAGTACACCGAAAATATTATTTTCTTCATCATAGTTTTGATTATAAACCCTAGACCTCTCTCAATGAAACTTTTCGATTGCAATCAATAATATAATGGGAAATGGGCGTGGGCTGCAGTATTTGGACCCACCCCATCAACTCTTGTATTTCAAGAAAGAGAAAATAACCTCAGTGACTAAAAATCTCAGATAATATACGCTTTTGATCAATTTTTTTTGGATTTGTGAAAATGACCAACAAAATCGCAATGCGATCTCTAATTCGCATTGCGATCTCCACTATCGCAAATTCGCGTTGCGATTTTCCAGTTCGCGTTGCGATAGTTGAAAATCGCGTTGTGATTTTCCATTTCGCGTTGCGATAGTTGAAAATCGCGTTGCTAGTTGAAAATCGCGTTACGATTTTCTATTTCGCGTTGCGATAGTCTACAGTTGTCGTTGCGATTTTTCAAATTCGTTACACGTATTACCATTACCATTACCATTACCACGACCACGACCACGACGAGACGAGACGGCGGCGGCGGCGGCGCGCGAGAGTTCCCATTGTTCTCTATCACTCAACAAGGAAGTGGGAAAGCCAAGCCTTAAATACTATTCTCAATAGTGTTTCCAATACTATGTGGGATTTGAGCATTACCGACACTTGTTCCCAATACTATGTGGGATTGAGCCTTAAATAGTGATATTATTTTTGAATGTTTTGCTTAAAATTGTAATAATCGCGATTGATTGTAGATTGACTTTTAATTATGACATATTTAATCGTATAATACTAATGCAATTGGTTGCTAATTCAGTTATTTTAAGGTGCATGATTGTTAATTGTTTCCTGAATAGTTTTAGTTTTAATTTTTCTATCATTTTTAAAATATCAAATCACTTTAATTATTAATTTTAATAAATTAAATTCTTTTACAGTTTGAAGACTGAAATAGAACTATACTAATAGTTGAGTGACTAAGTGTAATTTACGCTAAAAGTTAATATAAAACTCAATTTTGAGAATGAAAATAAACTACATTTTCTCAAACCACTTGCAAATCCAATTTCATTTAAACTATTTCCACGCTCAATTTAACGGCGATTTTCCCCAAAAATCACCTTTTCAAATTTTATTTGCCTGTCATACATCATTTCATCTTTATTTTCTAATCTAACACTTTATACAAAAAGACGTGACTTATGCACATGTTTTACGCTGATGTGACGTTACATGGGTGAAAAAAATATGGTACTATTTTTATAAATATTTTTAAATAGTATCTAATATATAATTAATTTATATTATGGTGATATTTGTGTAAAAATATCAAATTTATTTATTTATTTATTTGTTGTGTGTGAAAAAAAACTTTCTACATTAAAATATTTAAATATTCTTATACAAATTATTTTATAATTCGATAAATTTTGATTTTTGCATAAAATTACACAATATGTATAATCTAATATAGAAAAACTTTGAGGGTAAATATTTTAAAATATAAATAATTTTATAAAAAATTTATAACTAGTATTTCTTTTACAAAATGATGATGATGATTATGATAATAAATATTTTATAATTTATAAATTTCATATATTTTTAAAAAATTTATTGACATTTAAAATTAATTGTTTAAAAATATAAAAATATTAAAATAAACTTTTAATTACAATTGAGTGATCAAATGAATTATTATTCATTAATTATTATCTTTAACAACAATTAATAATATTTATTCATTTTTAATAAAATTATTTTGATTTTTGTATGAAATTACACAATAAATATAATCTAGTCATTAAAATAATTTTTTAATTACAATTGAGTGATCAAATAAATTATTATTCATTAATTATTATTTTTAACAACAGTTAATAATGTTTATTCATTTTTAATAAAATTAAAATTTAATATTTATTTTATATTTTTTAAAATTAATATTAGAAAAATGGTCCTTGAATAAAGATGTTTACATTTTTTATTGAATTTTAATTCTTTTTTATTGTATTTTATTGATTTTTTAAAAAAGTGAATAATAATTCATTTGATCCCGTAATTGTAATTAAAAGTTTATTTTAATATTTTTATATTTTTAAACAAATTAATTTTAAAAGTCAATAAACATTATTAAATGTTATTAAAAATAATATCACATAAAAAATAAATAAATAAATAAAGTTGACGTTTTTATATAAATATCACCCTAACAAAAATTAATTACATATTATGTATTATTTTAAAAATATTTACAAAATTAACATCCGAATTTTTACATATTTCACTAGATATGGTGTATGGGTCACGTCTTCTGTCATGTGATATAAGACACGATGCATGAGTCGCGTATTTCTACAAAAAAAAAATATGGTAGATCGAGAAATAAAGATGAAATGATGTCTGAAAGGGAAATAAAATTTAAAATAGTGATTTTTGGGGGGAAAATCCCCCAGTTTAACTTAGAAAAGCCTTTATTTTATTTTATTTTTATCATCCTCCTCCAAAAATAGTATCTTTAAGAAGCCAACCATCACCAGTCACTCGTCCATGAAAAGCAATTTTCAGTTTTTAACTTATAAAAGCGATAAAGATTCCATCACATAAATGGCATGATAGAAGCAAACAAAGCAAGTGGATGGGTCATTGATAATGGACCCAATCTTTTCTATTTGCTTGCTTTGCTTGTTTGCCTCTATATAAACCCAGCAAAAACCAATAAAAAAGTATTGAATTTAACTCTCCTAAAACAATTACATGGCAAATCCAAGATGGGTTTTTGGTCTAAAGACCTTGTTGATTTTCATCAGCCTCTATCTCTTTCTGGGTAGTTGCTTAATTGCAGCTTCTTTGGAAGACTCAACTGCCCAACAAAAACTTGATAAGGTTCTTAAGCTTCCAGGGCAGAATCTCGATGTCAGCTTTGCACACTATGCTGGTTATGTTACCGTCAATAAAAGCTTAGGGAGAGCTCTCTTTTACTGGTTCTTTGAAGCTGCTGAGGATCCTGATTCCAAGCCTCTTCTTCTCTGGCTCAATGGAGGTCGTACTTTGAAAAATTTTAAGATTCTTGTATCATTTTGACTTTCTGCATTTTTTGTAGCACCTTTTGATTAATTTTAGTCAGGTGGTGCTAATTTATGATCTGATTTGAGTGAAAATTAGTTGTTTTGTCTGATTGTTCACTGTGTTTTCGAATAACTGATCACTGCTTTTATGATTTCACCGTGTTGTTTTTCTGGGTATAATCTTTTTTCTGTTTACTTATTTAGAGCTTTATGTCCACAGGACCTGGATGTTCATCCATTGCTTATGGATTAGCAGAGGAAATAGGTCCATTCCACATTAGGCCAGATGGGAAGACCCTTTACTTGAACCCTTACTCTTGGAATCTAGGTATTCACTTCCTTAAAAGTTCACTGTGAAAGTTGGTGTAAGAGATGGAATTGTTTTACTTTATTTGTTGAACCTCTAAAATGATGGTGTAGTGGATTTATTACATAGAAGAGTTACCTGTTTATGGTGAGCCCCTAAATGATATTTATGTTGGCACAAGGTATTTGTTTAGATCTATGTCAAGACTCAGCTAGGGGATGTGAATGTTAGAAATATTACTATATCAATTGCATTGTTACAAGGTTCTTCTACTGCTTTGCAGCTGCCAATATTCTATTTCTTGATTCTCCTGTTGGAGTTGGTTTTTCATATTCAAATACTTCCTCCGATTTGCTTAACAACGGTGATAAAAGTACTGGTAAGGCTCATGCATTTCGACTTCATAGCTTTGTTCGAATCTCTTTTATTTTGGCTAACTTGTGCAAGTATACCTTCTTGCCCTTTGACATACAGCCAAGGATTCACTGAATTTTTTGCTGAAGTGGCTTAAGCGCTTTCCTCAGTATAAAGACAGGGATTTCTACATTGCTGGAGAGAGTTATGGAGGTATATAGTAATTTCTTGTTTATATTTCTTTATATATGGTAAAGCACAATTTCTTTTCCTTTAGAATATGAAAGCGCAGCGAGTGAAACAGATGGGAATAATGAGGTTTCCTAGCTTTGTTATTCAAGCCAAATAACATGCAGCCCTTCTTTAAGGATCATGGCTAAGTTAACATTAATAAAGAATTTATTTCTATGTTTTACTTGATAACCTTGATGACTTTGGAACTTTGCAATATTTGTATTATTATTTTTTTACATTTTAATTGCTCTTGAACAATAAGTTCATTATGTTTTTTTTTTTCTGTAGTTCCTTTTTTTGTCTCCTCACATTAAAGAATGTGTTGCAGGGCATTATGTTCCACAGCTAAGCCAAGCCATTGTAAGACACAACAAGGCCACCAAGGCAAAAGCAATTAACCTAAAGGGCTATATGGTATAGATTCTATTCTTTAAAGAAAGCAGATTCTTTAAAGAAAGCAGTTTTACATTATTTGAGCAAACTGAAACATAGATTTGTATGTAATATGCAGGTCGGAAATGCTCTAACTGACGATTACCATGACTATTTGGGGCTCTTTCAATTTTTGTGGTCAGCTGGCTTGATTTCCGATGAAACATACAAGCTATCGAATGTACTGTGTGATAATGAGTCATTTATTCACTCCTCAAGTGCTTGTAATGGCATATTGGATGTTATGAGTGAAGAAATGGGAAATATTGACCCATACAGCATCTACACTCCCTCCTGCTCTGCCAATGCTAGGCAGGCAAAATGGCTGCTGAAAAGAAGGCTTGTGAGTACATAAATTTCATATTTCTACATCTTCAAATTTTAAGTATCTTTTTCCTCTTCTTTAATCAGTGAAAATATCTTTTTAATTGAACTTTAGGTATAATAAGTTTTGACAGCATTCCAGTTAAACAATGTCCAATGGATTCAATCATCATATACCCATCTTTTTCAAAATTTTCTCTGGGACCTAATAATTCTCTTTTATGATTTTGTCTCCAAACTGAAGCTCTATTAAGCTGCCTAGGTTTCTTGGTCTGGGGAACTCATTGGCCAGAACAATTACCAGAATTAGCAGAAATCATAATTTATAAAAGACCTGATTGTTTACTTTCCACTGAAATCGAGGGTATTTGATATTTATTTGTAACCATGTTAAGGAAATTTGATATTATCCAACAGAGGGTTGGCCAGCTCAGTGAGAAGTATGATCCTTGCACTGAGAAACACTCAGAAGTATATTTCAATCTACCTGAGGTTCAAAAGGCACTTCATGTTTTACCTGAAGCTGCACCATCTAAATGGGAGACATGCAGGTACGAAGGCTTTTTTTGTAGACTCAAATTCTGTCATTTACCTATGTAACCAGATGATCTGAAAAAGTATGTTCCAGCTTTAACCCTTTATGAAACTTATTTTATAGTTCCCAAAAGATGCACCGAATCTTGTTGATACGGCTTGGTTTGCCCTTTATAAAGTGAACTTGTGATATCGAAATTTTACCATGAGTAAACCTAAACCAACTTCTATTTGACAACATACATGGAGACGTGGGCCTTTAAACGGGTTTCCTTTTCTTTATTTTTTATTTTTTGCAGTGAAATCATAAATACCAACTGGAAGGATTCTCCATTAACTATGCTGGATGTTTACCATGAGCTTATACAAGAAGGACTTCGCATATGGATATTCAGGTTTATATCTAAATTTGTGATGTTGCTTTTCTATACAGCAAGCATGTTTCAGGATTGGGTAAGAAAAGGTCAACAACCATATGTGCTTTACTGTTTGAAGCAATGGATGAATAGAGAAACTAACAATATATCATCTGAGTAAACCTTTCTCCTTTTGTAATTCTTTTATCTTTCACGATTTGTAGGTAGTTTTTACTGCATTATGTCATTGATTTGTAAATTGACTGGAGCGAAAGGAGTGTACATCATATAAGTTGGTGACTCATGCTTCATGAATATATTTAGAGCAAGTGTAATCCTCCTGTTAATTTGGTAAATATCTCATAACTAGAAAGTATAGTATTGGAGAGTGAAAATAAAAATCCTATGGCTAAACTTGATGGTTAAACTTGCCTTAATACAATAATGCCCTATATATCCTGATTCGAAGTAAATGTAGGATTCAGGTATACATCCGACACGAATATGTTATGTTTTTTCTAGGTTATTTCATATATTTAGAGGACCATAACCCATACCAGTATCTGAATGTGTTAGACACAAGTACCTTAAGAAAAATGAAGAGTCTGAGTAAGATAGTTAATAGTGTCAATTTAGAATTGACGAGATAGGCTCTGAACAAAGTATTTTTGAGATTATGAAGGGAATAATAAGACATACCTAGGTAGTATTTCTGGATGAAAAGCTGATGGCAAGTGTTCCGACTAAGAAACCATGGTTTCTGGCCTAGTCGGTTCTTGCAACCACCGTTAAAAGTGACATTCAATAGGTTTCCGGATCCCAGCCTTTCCCATATTTCGAAGCTACAGCTCTTTTGCAAAAGAAAAGAGTTCCTGCTAAAACACTTAACAATATAAGCTATGGGGCTAACTTATCATTTATAAGATAGAAGAATTCATGGTTGCATAGATTTATATTGTGGTTCTATTATAGGAATAATTGCACTTTTAGTCCACAACATCTACAATGTTAAAAAAATTGCTATTTCAGTATTACATGCTATCATATGATCATACTATTGAGTTTTGATCTGTATCATTAAATAAATTTGCTAAGGGAATGTTTCATCTTGCAAGTATTTGCTTGAACTCTAGATCTAGATTCCCAAAAGTTTAGCTTTGATAATAGTCCATTTGTGTTTTTCCATGTAAAAATAACAAGCCGTCTTTTACATAATTTGGTTTATGGATGCGTTTTTTCTTTTTTGGAAATAATTTCATTCATTTTTTCTCATACTCTCCCTCCATTGTACCAAATTGACAGTGGTGACACAGATGCTGTGATCCCAATTACTTCCACCCGCTACAGTATAGATGCGCTCAAGCTTCCAATTGTGAGCCCATGGCGTCCTTGGTACGACGACGGGCAGGTAATTTACCTTGAAATACTTGGATTTGTTTCATTGCCACAATAAAACACATGAACAAGTCATTTTCAGTTTGAAAGACTTTTGACAGTAACTAGTTATAGTCAATACATCGTTGCATGTTTGTTGACTAACAAAAGTGGGGAATGAATGAACAGGTAGGAGGATGGACACAAGAGTATGAAGGGCTGAACTTTGTTTCAGTGAGGGGAGCCGGGCATGAAGTCCCTTTGCATAGACCGAAACAAGCTCTCACGCTCTTCAAAGCTTTCTTAGCAGGAACCGCGATGCCTGTTGCTGCCTCTAGCTCTCAACAACTCACCAGTGACTCCTGAATTCAGGGTTGATTTCAATAAATGCCTTCTCAATAACTCTCTCTTATTATGGGGATTGTAATGTTAATGTGATGGCCAATTCAAAAACCTCTTTCCTTCCCCAGAACATGTCCAATTCAATCAAACAAGTTCCAGTTGAAATGTGAACTTCGCTTAAATGGTTGGAAATGGTTTAATTGCAGCCTTGCCTCTTTTAGAATTTAACATCTCGTGGAGTATATTAGAAAAATCGTATCTTTATATCTATATCGAACATAAAAATCACCCTGGTAAGAAAAACAACCTAAGTTTCTTAAACTTTGTCGTAGGCATGACAGTTAGAGATGCATATAGTCGGATTTAAATCCGTTCTGGTTTTTTCACTAAGCCAAAAAATCGGTTTATAAAAAAACCGGTTCGGATCATAACCGGTTTGGAGGGCCGGATGATGTAACCGGTGTAACCGGTTTCGGTTTGAAAAAAACCGGTTTTTAATCCGGTAAAAAATTCGGTCATCTAATTTTTTAAACCCCAGACTGGTTATACTATCCGGTTTTAAAATATCCGATCCGGTTAAAAAAAACGGTTTTTCCCAAATCCAGTTTCAGATATTTTTTGCACAAAATCGGATATTCGAATTTTTTGTGCACCTCTAATGACAGTGACCAAGCTTGATCAAGTCTTCCAGCTACTTGTAATTTTTTAAATGCATAATATTAAAATTTATCTCTAACATTTAATAAAATAATTATTTTATATCATTTTTCTTTTTTTTTAAAGTATTTTAACCCGAGAAAATAACCTCAGTGACCAAAAATGCCTTATAATATACGATTTTAACCAACTTTTTTTGGATTTGCCAAAATGACCAACTAAATCGCAATGCGATCGATAATTCGCAACGCGATCTCCGGTATCGCAAATCAGTTTCCAGATTCGCATTGCGATTCTGACTATCGCATTGCGATTTCCAAAATTCGCGTTGCGATTTTCCTAATTCGCAATGCGAATACGTAAATCGCAACGCGAATTTGGAAAATCGCAATGCGATTACGTAAATCGCAATACGAATAGGAAAATCGCAATGCGATTACGTAAATCGCAACGCGAATTTGGAAAATCGCAATGCGATTACGTAAATCGCAACGCGAATTTGGAAAATCGCAATGCGATTACGTAAATCGCAACGCGAATACGTAAATCGCAACGCGAATACGTAAATCGCAACGCGAATACGTAAATCGCAACGCGAATACGTAAATCGCAACGAGATTCTGACTATCGCAATACTGAATTTCAAATTCGCAACTCGATTTCTGAATTCGCAACAGGTTTTAATTTCGCAACACAAATGTTTTGGGTATATAACTACGCAGCAGCAGCAACTCATAACCTAAATCCCTAAATCGCAACTCATTCCATCTCCATCTATCACTCTCTCCGGCGACATCCGTTCCTATATCCAACGACATCATTCCCCATCCGGCAACATGTTTTAGTTTCGCAGCTCGTTTGTTTAGTAAATTAATTTACAATAATGAAATCATCTAATGTTGATCATGTTTGGATAGATTTGTGTTTTGGAGGGTCATGAGAGAATGTTCATGGTGTTTTACAATATATGCCTTTACCCATGAATCTTCAACTAAAACTGTTATTAAAAAAGTTAACTTATGAAACTCTAATGTTACGTGTTGCAAGTAAATTGAATTTAGAGCCCCTAAGTGGATTTAGGCCATCTTATCAGAGAAAAGATAAAGTTTATTTGTTAACCGACAATGAAGATGTTGAACGATTCATTGCTTACATTAGTGTTTCAAGTGATGATGTTACATTGTATGTTGTTGAACCTAGAAGTAATAGCCGGTAGTAATCAACTAAGTTTTTCAACCCCAGTTTATGGTGCTCAAAATTTAATGGTTCCACCACAATTTCATCACCAAGCAAATATTGTTTCACCACATTTCCAATACCAAACACAATCTCAAAACCCACAACCTTTCCCTAAACTAAATCCCAATCAACTTTCAACACCAAATTTCGGTTTTCGTATTGACCAGTTAGACGATGATGAGCCAACAAAAAAAATTATGAGTACTAGTCAGTATTTGAAATTTGATCTTGGTCAATACCCGGACTTTGATCTTGGTCAATACTCGGATTTTGATGATTTTTCAGAAGAAGAAACAGACCCTGCGTGTAATGATTTTGATATTGGTCAATACCCGAATTTTGATGATGAAACAGCCGTTGCCGAGGAAGATGTTATTGATGATAATGAGGAGGAAGTTACGACTGTAAATGAACATGTTGAACATCCATTCTATAATTCATATAACACTGAAGAAGAAAAAGAAGAAGAAAAAGAAGAAGAAATCCCAAAGAAAAAGTCCCCGAAGAAAATGCCACGGGAGTATAACTGGAATATGCCAGAATTACTTCAGATACCAGAAGAATAGTTGGTAAAGATAGCAGTTGATTGTCACACAAAAATTTTTCGTATCAAGAAAGATGATTGTTTTGATACAAAGGAAGACTTGAAGATAGTTTTGTATACGAAATGTGTGGAAGATGGCTATCAACTAAAAGTTAACAAATCAAGCAAAGATCGTTTCGAAACAAGGTGTATGATTGACAAAAACTGTATGTGGCGTATGATTACAAAGAGGATAAAAGATTGCAAAATGTTTCAAGTTAGTACTTTTATTGATAAACATACATGTTCAAGAACCCAAGTTTTTCCTCACCATAGACAGGCAAACAAAAAGGTGTTGGGTGGTTTTCTGGCTGAGTTAATATTTTTGAATGGTAGGGTATATCGGGGACATGAAATTATGACTGACATGAATGCTCGGTTCAAGATTAGTATCTCATATTCTCAAGCTTGGAGAGCCAAATGTTATGTCTTGGAATTGTTGAGGGGGTCGCCAGAAGCATCGTTTGCCTAACTGTCGGCTTATTGTCACAATTTAAAGCTGAAAAATCCTGGGTCGGTAACTCATATCAAAACAGATAGAGATGGATGCTTTGAGTTGCTTTTTATCGCCATTGGTGCTGCGGTTAGTAAATCAATATAATTTTGTTAACTCATTTTTGTTAGTTACATGCATTTCACATTTAAATGATTATATTTCTTGTGTATATGATTTTGTAGATTCGTTCGTTTATTAATTGCATGCGTACAGTTATTATAGTTGACGGAGCACATTTAAAAGGTCGATACCTTGGAGTAAACTTATTAGCAGTAGCCATGGATGCTAAAAATGTGATACTGCCAATAGCTTACGGGGTTGGCAAATCTGAAACCTCTGATTCATGGACATGGTTTATGGGGCATCTTAGGGATTGCATAGGTCCTATTAGCAATCTAACAATCATATCCGATAGGGCAAACTCAATTGACAACGCTGTTAGAAGGTGTTTTCCAGATGCTTTTCATGGACTTTGTGGTGTTTATTTGTATAGAAATCTAAAATCAAGGTCTGCTGGTATAAAAAATCACAAATGGACATACTGGAAGGCTGTAAAAGCTTATCGGAAAGTGGATTTTAATAAGCATATAAACTGTTTAAGACGTGTTTTGCCTCAGTGTGCTCAAACACTAGAAGATGTCGGGTTTGAAAGATGGTCAAGAGTACATCAACTTGGAGCAAGATATGGTTTCATGACGTCTAATAGTGCAGAATCAATCAACGCTCTAAGTCGTCATTCCCGAAAATTACCCATTACTATGTTAATGGAGTTTTTTCAAGCCTCTATTCAACAGTGGTACTACAAGAAAAGAAACCATGCAGGTATTATTTCTTTAAATTCGAAACTTATCATATATTTTACTAAGTATTATTTATTTAAATTTACAGGAACATTGGAACATCGTGTTACACCATGGACAGAAAAAAAAGATAACGAAACGTGTTCTGAAGTCAACGTCATGGAGATTTGAACCATGTTCAAACACTTTGTTTGAAGTACTGGATAATAACTTAAATGGCATTGTCGATCTAAATGCAAAGACGTGTAGTTGTATGAAATGGCAAACATCTGGTTATCCGTGTGGCCATGTTATAAAAGTTTCTCTTCATCTAAACCAAGATGATTCAAGTGCATACGCTATGGATTGCTACACTACAGAAGTATATCGATAGACTTATGGCGAGATTGTCTACCCTATTCCACATCCTTCTGAGTGGGACATACCAGATGACTTACAAACAGTTTTGCCACCAGTCATGGACAGAAGGCTACATGGCTGACCAAAAAGTCACGATCGTATACCGTATAAGGGTGAAGAGAAGAAGAGATCGACATGTAGTCGGTGCAAGGAAAATGGTCATACAAGGTTGACATGTGGATCACCAGTGCCATCACAATCATCTTTTCCTCTACCAAAATATGGATCCTCATCAAAATCCAAAGCTCATATGGTGTCAAGCAAAAGGCAATCAAAATCGCAATCATCTTTAAAATCCCAATCACAACCGGCTTCACCTTTTGGGACTGTTAACTTAGGTGATTTTTAAATGCAAACGTTTTATTATGTGGATTTTATGTGTGAACTTTTAACATTTTTAGTTAGGCATGTATTAGTAACTTGAGTTTGAAAATTGTTATGATCTGTTCAGTTGTTATCACTTATTAGGCATTCATTTGACTATCGCAACACGGAAATGACGTTCGCAATCATCTTAATGTCTATCGCAACGCGGAAATGAAAATCGCAACGAGAGAATCGCAATGCGAAATGAAAATCGCAACGACAAAATCGCAACGCGAAACTAAAATCGCAACGCGGAAATGACTATCGCAATGCGAAATGAAAATCACAACGAGAGAATCACAATGCGAAATGAAAATCGCAACGAGGGAATCGCAAAGCGAAATGAAAATCGCAACGCGAATTTAGTTTCGCGTTGCGATTTTGTCGTTGCGATTTTCATTTCGCATTGCGATTCTCTCATTGCGATTTTCATTTCGCATTGCGATAGTCATTTTTTCCTTCAACATAATGCATATTGAAATCAACAAAATCAACCATTACATTTCAATCAATTAAACAAGCACAAATAAGAATTATGTTCACATCAATTAAACAAATCAACTTTTACAAATCATCTTTTACAAATCAATTAAACAATAAAAAAATAAGCAATAATTCTTATTTCCTCATCTACTATTGAATCAACTTTTACAGCCATACAT